GGGGAATTCTGGGAGTTGAAGTCCACCCATCTTAAAGTGGCCCAGGTTGAAAAACACTGTTCTAGTCTAACCCACAGCATGGGGCTTTCCTAGTGGTCTCCCATCCTAGGACAAACCAGCCCTGACCTCCTTTGCTTGCCGCTCCCTTCTAAAACAACCATGTGTAACCATTGATAATATCAGCAGCTGTGCCCCTTATAGACGCTTTGCATGAAGCAGAAAAAAATGAACTTATGATTTATGGTTTTGATGATTAGAAAGAATGGATTATAGAAAAAATAGAGTTACGTTGTCACCATAGAGCAAGAAGTAAATTTATACCTGTACTTATAACTGCCGTGAAGCAGATCAGAAGCTACCTCTTTGTTTCTTTACTTTTGCACTTTTAACTCTTTCTCTGATTTCTTTTTGTTTTGTTTTTCTTTTCCTTACTCTCTATTCGTTTCAATTAGTTTTTATCTTCTTCCTTAAATGTTTAAATAAAATTATTGATAGATTAAAAAAGATGGTATCAGCAGTGGAAGGAGATTTGAGCCAGACAATGTCTGTCTTGCAGCCTCCCGCGGGACCCTCTCGGAAATGATGCCACCGCCTCGAAATGGACAGACAGCGCCCTTGGTGGGGAAGGCAGAGACGCAGCCTGGCCGCCAGACCCCCCCAGCCCTCCAACCAGCACCCACACCTCTGCCAGACGCAGCTGTGACACAGCCCACCCCAAATGACCTCCTGGGGGCCAAGACCCCCACTGCGCCTGTCTCGGAACCAGGCTCTGCCTGCCAGACGTGCCAGCCCAGCCCGCTGCCCACCGCCCCACTTCTGGAAGCAGAGAGCTTGCCCCCTAAGAGTGATCGCCCCCCGCCCATTGGAGCCCCGAGCCCACCTCAAACAGAGGAAACGCGTGGCAGTGCCCGCCTGCCCCCGAAGAGCGAGCAGCCTCCCACTGCCCAGGGTTCGGCCAGCCCCCGGGCAAAACAAGGTACGTTCGTGTTGCAATTGGGAACTGACTTGGGGAGGGGATCTGGTGGGGCTCTGGGGCGCAGTTGCCCTCTTTCCTGATGAAGAAATCTAGAAAGCGTCTGTGTTTTTTGGGGGGGCTAACCTTGCATTTGCCTAATACACATCAGGATTTTGGGGCAGCCAAAACCTTTGTGTAGAGGAGATGCTTTTAGGTCTTTGGGTTTGGAAAAATGTAAACCTTTCCAAAGTGGGCGATATTGATCATAATTCTATATTCTCCCATGAAACAAGACTGGGTTCAACCAAGCCTACCAGCTTGCTCCTATGAGCCCCACCAGGAAGAGGAAAAAGGATGGAAGACCACAGTGAGCTCACCATGGGCATTTATGCCAATGTGTTCCAGGGCCAAAATGCTGCTTTGTGGGGAGGGGGGTTAAATAAGAGAAGGGGAGACTTGTCCCTTCTCCAGGTTCACTCTTTGAACTGGTTAAGAGATTGTAACCTCTATTGCAGTGTTTCTCAACCTCATCAACTTTAAGATGGGTGGACTTCAACTCCCAGAATTCTGGGAGTTGAAGTCCACCCATCTTAAAGTTGATGAGGTTGAGAAATCCTGCTTGAGATCAGGAACACAAGAAAAGCAGGAACTCCAGCCACATGACCTAGTTCAGGCCAGGATGACTTAGCCATGGATTCATCCCTTCCCACCTTCCACCGCAGCATGGAAGGTGAAGGGATCTCCAGCATCAAGTGGACTTGAGCAGAGGACCTCCCATTCGTCGTTCTGACGCCTTTGCCTTCTCCTTCTTCCAGATTCCCAGAAGGCCCAAGCAAGACACAGGCTGGCCCGGGAGCGTCGCGAAGAGCGAGCCAAACATCTGGGTAAGAAGCAGGTTATCTGTCATCTGCATCCCAGGCTTTTGGGGGTCATCTCATTGAGCCATGTCAGACACGCAAATCCAGATTTATGGTCTGGTTATTTCACCCTCTCCTACAGCCTGGTGTTTTCCAGAGGGTACAGCTAAGTTCCTATCATGCCGAGCCCTCCATGCAGAGGATGGGGATGATGGGAGCCGGATTCCGATACATTTGGCAGATTTAGGAAATGCTGCCCTTGTTCTCTTCAAAACTAAGCCCAATGGGGCAAAAAACCCAAGACGAACGTGTTTTTCTTTCTGTTGTACTCTTGGCTGGGACACTTAGTGTATGTGATCGATGGTGAACAAAATGCCCTTTCATTCTTCCCTCCTAAAAGGAGAATGGAAGTGGGAATGCACAGAATATATTAAGGGATGTTTGGACTCCTTTTTCTGGCGAATCCAAAAATGTGAACTTATCATTTACTTGAATGTTTTCTTCCTTACCCCCTTGTAGAAAAAAAGATGAATTCCAGGATTGTTGACAGACAAAACATAATAACCCATTGCTGCAAATCAAGGGTAGCCTTTTCCTACCAGGGTTGTATAAGAATTATTTTAGCTAATTCCCATCCTCCCTAATCCCTAATTCAAGATATTTTGAGAGATTCCAAATAATGAGGATAGAACCAAACTCCCCCCCACACACATACACAATATCTTTCAAGCAAAAGATATCAATTTCATCAGCCCTCTTATAAAGAAGGGTTGCTGGCTTAGAAGCCATAGACAAATCTTCTAAAACCTTAAACCACTGGGGAACTTCAGAAACAGCTGGTCCAGATAAACCAGCTGACAAATGCTTAAGTTAAATATACTCTGGGGTAAATCAGACTCATTTTTAATGCTGCAAAAGTTCAGAAATTGCCTTCCTCAGAATTGGCTCTTATGAGACGCCCAGTTTATCCCCCCAACAGATTTAGATGCTATTTTTAAACTGCAGTTATTCCACAGTGTAAGTTTTTCATGAGTTCAACAGATGAAAAAGGGTATCTGTGATCCAATATTTTCTATATATATTTTTGCAGCATTAAGTGCAGGTCTTGAAATGGATCCCTGCATAAATAACACCCAAGATTGCAGTGGGGCCAGATAATACCTGCCAAGTTAAACAGTTACTGAAGCTAGGAAGAATGCCTGGCAATAGCGTGAAAGAATGGAAAATTAACCCATCTTTGATAACAGGTAATTGCACTTTACAGAGCAACAAGCTTGCAGGATTTCCTTGCTGAAGAAATTTGTTCAAGCCCTTGTAAATTCCTTTCAACCAGTATGATGGAATAATCCACTTCTTGAAATATCCAGGCAGGATTCCAAATTTGTGTATTAATAAATAAGAGTAGGAGTACTGATTTCTGATCTAGCTATAAAACATAAAGTATAATCAGCATATAATAGAATCTTATACTCTTCCCCATCCTACTCTAAGGGATATATTCTGAAATTCTAATTATTCAGGCAAGGACTTCTGAAGCTAAATTAAACAGAGAAGGAGCACAAGGACTCACTTGGCACGGAGCTCAACATAAATTCGTCCAAGGAGAGGTTGCACCATTAATAACCACCCATGATTTAGGAACTGAATAAATCAGATCAATCCAAAACATAAAATTCTAAGGAAAGCCCAAATAAATTCAACCCCCCCCAAGGGAACCATATCAAAAATTTTGGAAACTTTCAGTGTCCACAGAAATCATAGCTGCTGAGTCTTGTCTATGTTGAGTGAAAGCAAGAACATCAATTCTTGTCCTACGTTGAAAGCTTTGTATAATCCTAGCCTGAGTTGGATCCATTATTGTTGGAAGACAGCCTTCACATCACTGGCTACGGTTCATGTGCCATGTTAATGCTTGGCTCTCTCAGCCAAGTTTTATTGACTAAATTATAATTAGTCAGGTTCTCACAACATACTGCACCAAAGCTGGTTTTTCATCCTGTGTGAACTCATCCTTTGAGAAAATTATGAGTGGGAAGAAATCACAAGCCTCCTTCCTCCCTCCCTCCCTCCCTCCCTCCCTCTCCTTTTCCTTCCTTCCTTCCTTCCTTCCTTCCTTCCTTCCTTCCTTCCTTCCTTCCTTCCTTCCT